GTCGGCTGGAGGTGGCCCCCACCAGACAGGGGCCCCCCGGAGCAAAGCCGCAGAGGTGGCGGGGTCCCGTGCCTCCAAGGCTTTGCTCGGGGTGTCCCTGGTCTGCTGGGGACCTCCGCAGCAGACCAGGGACACCTGGAGCAAAGCCGCAGAGGTGGCGGGGTCCCGTGCCTCCAAGGCTTTGCTCGGGGTGTCCCTGGTCTGCTGGGGACCTCCGCAGCAGACCAGGGACCCGTTCGTAAGTGCGGATCCGACATAAGTCGGATCCGCGTAACTCGGGGACTGCCTGTATTTGTTGTTTTTTTAAGCTTTTCCTATCCTAGCCAGTTAGTAAATGGTGAGCCTTCTAGATAGTGATGTGTAGAAAAGCCCCGTTCGTAAGTGCGGATCCGACATAAGTCGGATCCGCGTAACTCGGGGACTGCCTGTATTTGTTGTTTTTTTAAGCTTTTCCTATCCTAGCCAGTTAGTAAATGGTGAGCCTTCTAGATAGTGATGTGTATTTTGCTGTCTCATCATTACATTACTCTACCCAGATATAGAGAGTGGCTCTCAGAGAGAGGATAGAAGGTGTGACTCAGCAGTCCACAGGGAGGAATTCTGGGAGCAGACAATCCTGAAGAGAAGGCTTGAATTGGCTTTTGTGTTTCATTTTAAGTTTATTTTGCTTTTGCCCCAGTAACATGAAGTACTTTTGCATTCCAGGATTTTGAAGAGTGGATGAGCACCATGAATACCTAATAAAATAAAAATTGTTCTCACTAATATGGAATGTCAGTAAAAGCCATATGTGCCCTACTGTTTTTCAATCCTACATTAAATATTATCACTGAAGTGAATAATTCACTTGGAGTGAAATTCATTCAACACCATTAACAATAAGAACTGCTGTTTTACATTTAAAATTACATACTCTGCATGCAGCAGTTTGCTCTGTAACAACAATGCCATTTGGATGAGTCAAAGCTGAATCTAGAATAGCACAATCTGTACATGTTCTAAACATATCAATCTCCAGATGGAGTTGTGAACAAAATGCAAACTCTGCTTTAAAATGGGAAGAGTTTTAATAGCTATTCAAATAGAAAAATAATTAGTAACCATATATTTTTAAAGAATGAATGTCCCAAAGCCAGTTGCTTTTAGAGCACCTTGAAAAAAACATTTTTTTATTAAACTCTTTCACCATAATTGGAAAGAAGATAGAAGAAAGAAAAAAACTAATTTCCTAAAAGAGCTTCCAGAATCCACAAAAGGAGAAGCGATATTCCTTACAGTCTATGATGGGCCTCAGAATGCACATTTAATATGCCTGTTCAGCTCTGGCACAGTGGCACCGCAAAATCTGTAAGATTAATAACCATCCTGAGACATTACTGAGTCCTTACATTGTTTTTGCTACACTTCTCTACATGTATACGTTACAATATTTAAATTTTCATAGAGAATTAATAATTAAATGTGAGAAATGTATAAAAGTTTATAAAGCTATACTTCCACTGTGATATCTATAAGAAATCAACCAACTCACAATGTCTCAGAGGGGTAGCTATGTTAGACTGTAACTAAAAAACAGAAACAAAAAACCAACAATGGTCCTGTAGCACCTTAGAGACTAAACAAAAAATATATAGATAGTATTGTGAGCTTTCGTGTTCACAACCTATTTCTTCAGATGACAAATATGAAGCAAGAGGCACACAGCTTCAAATAAAAAGCAAAAAGGAGGAGAGAGGGGAAGGGAAAATAACTTGTCAGTTCCTGGTTGAATGCATCCTTGCAATAAACTCTGGTGCCAACTCTGTCCATACATCTACATAAGCAACATCATCACAGCACCTAACCATATAAGCAACCACATCAGAAGCTCAGACAACTGCATACAAACATAAGAATGAACATACTGGGTCAGACCAAAGGTCCATCTAGCCCATTATTCTGTCTGCCATCCGCGGCCAATATCAGATGCCCCAGACGGAGGGATCACAACAGGTAATCCTCATGTGATCCCTCCCCTGTCACCCACGTCCAGAGAAAGAGAGACTAGGGATACCAATCTTACCTATCCTGGCTCATAGCCATTGACAGATGTAACCGCCATGAATCTATCTAGCTCTTTTTTAAACCCTGGTAAAGTTCTAGCCTTCACCGCATCCTCTGGCAAGGAGTTCCACAGGTTGACTGTGCGCTGAGTGAAGAAAAACTTCCTTTTGTTTGTTTTAAACCTGCTACCTATTAATTTAATTTGGTGACCCCTAGTTCTTAAGTTCTGGGAAGAAGTAAATAATTTTTCCTTATTAATTTTTTCCAGATTAATCATGATTTTATAGACCTCTATCATATCCTCCCTTAGTCACCTCTTTGCTAAGCTGAAAAGTCCCAGTCTTTTTAATTTCTCTTCATATAGGACCTTTTCCAAACTCCTAATCATTTTTGTTGTCCTTTTCTGAACCTTTTCCAGTGCCAATATATCTTTTTTGAGATGAGGCAACCACATCTGTACGTAGTATTCAAGATGTGAGTGTACCATGGTTTTATTTAGCGGCAATAAGATATTTTCTGTCTTATTCTCTATCCCTTTTTTAATGACTTGCCGCTGCACACTGAGTGGATGTTTTCAGAGAACTATCCACAATGACGCTAAGATATCTCTCTTGAGAAGTTGTCTGTTGCCAAATTAGTCCTTATTATATTGTATATATAGTTGAGATTCTTTTTTCCAATGTGCATTACTTTACTTTTTTCAATATTAAATTTCATTTGCCATTTTGTTGCCCAATCACTTAGTTTGGTATGATCTTTTTGAAGTTCTTCACAGTCTGCTTTGGTCTTAACTATCTTGAGCAGTTTGGTTTATCATCTGCAAATTTTGCCACCTAACTGTTTATTTACCCCTTTCTATAGATCATTTATAAATAAGTTGAATAGGATGGTTCCCACGACAGACCCTTGGGGGACCCCACTAGTTATCTCTCTCCACTCAGAAAATTTACCATTTAGTTCTACCCTTTGTTTCCTGTCTTTTAACCAGTTATCAATCCACAAAAGGACCTTCCCTCTTATCCCAAAACAACTTACTTTACTTATGAGCCTTTGGTGAGGGACCTTGTCAAAGGCTTTCTGGAAATCTAAGTATACTATATCCATTGGATCCCCGTTGTCCACATGTTTGTTGGCTCCCTCAAAGAATTCTAGCAGATTAGTAAGGCATGATTTCCCTTTACAGAAATCATGTTGACTTCCCCCAACAAATTATATTCATCCATGTGACTGACAATTTTATTCTTCACTATAGTTTCAATTAATTTGCCCAGTACCGAAGTTAGACTTACCGGTCTGTAATTGTCAGGATCATCTCTAGAGCCCTTTTCAAATATTGGCATCACATTAGCTATATTCCAATCATTAGGTACAGAAGCGGATTTAAAGGATAGATTACAAACCACAGGTAATAGTTCCACAATTTCACATTTGGTTCTTTCAGAACTCTTGGGTGAATGCCATCTGGTCCCACTGACTTGCTACTGTTAAGTTTATGAATTTATTCCAAAATCTCCTCTGATCAGGGGCGGCCCGTGAGCCTAGGACACATTCACTAATGAGATTAAATTGCATGTCCACTAATGTGATATGTGCCATCAAGTGCCAGCAATGCCCTTCTACCATATATATTGGCCAAACTGGACAGTCTTTATGACAAAGGATTAATGGACACAAATCAGATATTCTAAATGGTAACGCACAGAAACTGTTGGAGAACGCTTTAACTTGCGCGGGAATCAACTGGAGAGAAAATCTGCAGAACTGGCCTTTATATGCAAATCTGATACTATCTCTCATGGCTTGAACAAAGATATGAACTGGATGGGCCATCATATTCAACACCCAAATGACTTCAAAAGCTAAGTATAGGGTACTTACAGCCCACTCTATTAGTCTCATTTAGCACAGAAACTTTAACTGACAGGTGTTTTTCCCCACTCCATTTCCCCTCTTCTGCTTTTTATTTGAAGATCTGTGCATCTTGTTCCATATTCATCATCTGAAGAAGTGGGTTGTGCCCACAAAAGCTCATGATACTATCTATATATTTTTTGGCTTATCTCTAAGGTGCTACAGGACCATTGTTGTCAACTAATAATGGTTGGGGTAGTTGAAGAGAGTTAATATTTATTTTTAAAAAGCTTTCATATTATTTTGCCCATCAAGTTTTTCAACAACTAGCCCATGGAACCGTGTAATCTAACAACCAATGCTCTCTTATTGTTTGTTTCACTCACTTGTGTCTTGTTTTCAAATTAGTTTGTAACCTCTTTGGGCAGGGACCATGTCTTCTTGTTTTTGTATAGTGCCTAACACAATGGGATCTGATTGACTGGGGATTTTCAGTACAAGCTTAATGATACTAACAACAACTTTATGAGGTCTGAGCAAAGTTTACATAGTAGTTTGCTTACCATACAAAAATGCTCTCTCTCACCTAATTTTTCCTTCTGTAGTTCACAACATCTGCTTTGTAATTCACTCTCTTGTTGGCGTAAAGTCTGAAGCTGATGACTTTTCAGCTCAGATGCACTGGACACTGACTTCAGATGTTTTACCTCCTCCTGGAGGGACACTTTATCCCTCTGGAATTCTGCCAACTTTTGAGTCAGTCTAGATATTTCTGAAGAAAAAATATATAAAATATAAAATTTATATTCTAAGATCACAAAGGCATTGCCATAAATTTAATGTCTTTCTTTTGTTAAAAGAATATTCCTCAATATTTGCTGGAATCTGTAATTTTATTTAAGTTTTTTTTAATTAATGCATATTAGCCATTCTAAAACTTTTATATCAGCACTGCATTTTTTTGCCAAAAACACAAAAGGATGAAAATGGTGGTTTTTCCAATGATTCTCCTCTTAGGCAATTTGCAGTACGCCGTTGAAATATCAAGCATGAAATGCAATGTGAGCAAATGATCCTTTTTTTGAAATGAATAAGCAGAGGGATTTATGCATACAAGTTCCATTAATACTAACCTTTTATCTGTAATAGCACTGAGCAGTGAGATGAAAATAAAGTCCCTAAAGCTCACTGAAAAGTTTGTTGGCGGGGGTTTTTCAGGGGGGACAGGAGATTTTTTTAGTTAAATATTAATGGAATTGATGAAGGATTTAGACCAAAAAACCCAGATTTTTACGGATGTGTATACATATGAATATCCTAAAAGCTGAATTTTCAGGGATGCGTATACACTTGAATAGTATTTCACTACTTTGAAAGGGATATATGGTATGTAGTGCAGGACACATAACACCTATAGAGGGAACCTGCAATCTTAAAAATAAACCATTCCAGATACTATTTTCTTGGAATTTAATTGGGTCTGGGAATGAAAATTACTAACAAGCAAACAAGTAGGATACTTCTGTAAATGTGTGTCTTCTAGGTTACTTCTACTGGAATAATACTCTCATTCCACTCAAGTATCTCATGCGCAATTCTTACATCATGCTACAGGATAATAAAACTAAGCTGAACTGTTGTAGCTGGGCAATTGAAACATTACTGAGGCATCCTCTTGTTTCAATAGATGAGACATACATATTTAAGAATATTAAAAATTAACAAACAGTATGTCAGAAAAGAACAGTTGGCATATTGTGGATATTTTTAAAAGCCATAAATAATGCAGAAATATGACTACATATGCTCTTAATTTTCATAGAAATAAAAAAGGAGAAAAAATACAGAGCCTTTTTCTAGAGTTCTTCATTTCTTTGGTTTGTGACATCATAATAATTTCAACAGCAATCAATCAACTGTAATTTAAGCAACTTAAATGAAATAAGGCAGGAAATCTGCAGAAAGAGTGGAACCCTTAATGCCACGCATTATACTCCGTCTTCAGTATTGTTGGCTCCTGGTTCAAAAAGCAATACATAAACTTTTAAATCTGTTATTCTAACAAAAGTTAATAGTAAAGAAAGCAACTTGCTTTTAATACTTGTCTTCAGATGGTTACAATACTCACGCCTGCTTCCTGCATGTAACTGGGGTCAGAACATTCTGAGCTCAGTGTTCTGAGTTAATATACACCTCAGTGGGTGATGCATGCCTACGCTCACTTCTGAGGAATAACAGCACCAACTGCCTCAACTTCTAGTTCCTATTATAGTTCAAAACATTAAAACTATCCTAATTCAGGAGAGAAAGGGGGTGAGTGGGGATCTATTATAATAATTATTACCTTCTGAGAACAAGAATTACGGGTAGGTAATTTCCTTTTCTCCAAAGTTAAACAGTCTAACAAAGCCACATGTGTGTTTTAAAGTGACTAACAAGCCACTGGAATACCTTTGAAAACCAATTAATTAACCCAATTAGCTTATAGTTTCATTTCTTTGATTGTTCAGGTTACACCTCTAAGTATATTTCAAAGGTAGTTCAAATTTATTTGGTGGCACCCCTTCCACTATAAGAATACTTCCACAGCTTATTGAAAGTTATATTTATATTAATGAAAAATACATAAAGTAACCACTTATTTAACTTCTAGTAACTATTTACTAATCTCTAAGGATATGTCTACACTATAGAGAACCTTACCTCTAGTTAAGACTGCTAATTTGAAGTGAGAGAGGCACTCCGGTCAATGTTGGTAAACCTTGCTTTCACGAGGAATAAAGGAAGTTGAAGGAAGAGTGTTCTTCCTTTGACTTCCTGCAGCATAAACAGCGCCAAAAGTCAAGTTAAATTACTTCAACTTCAGTTATACAATTAACGTAGCTGAAGTTGCAAAGCTTAATAGCTTTGTCCTGTGTAGACATACCCTAACAGTGATTATATTAGAAATCCCCAGAGAACTCCAGGTGGCATGGACTGAGGAAGAACTCAGTCCCAGAAATGTGATGTTAAAGAGACCAATTTTCATTCCACATACAGACCTTGCGCACTCAGAGCTTGTTAAGAACATAGAGAGCAATAAGGATCATTAGGACAGGTAATAAGAAAAAGGATAAAATTTCTTCTTCAACAAACTGGAGCACATCCTTTTTCCAAAGGATGGATCTGTGGAAAATAGTAGGTTGGGCCTATAGTGCTGAAGGATGACCCAGTGCTCACACTAAAGATTCTCTCAGTGCAGGTCACCATTCTGATTCAGGAAAGTGACCCTGAACAGGATGAGCAGGTTTTGATCTTTTGGGGGATGTGTTCACCTGCAGCTGAATATGCATCAGTGAAGCAGTGGTTGATGTGGCTCGGTAAAAGGTATCTTGGACGAAAGGGAACTAACCAGGATAATGTTTTCCTCAGCAGGTCAATCACGCTGAGTTTCCTTTAATGTTTTTCTCACATCCAACATGTGCCAATTTTTTTTCTTTTGGATGTCAGGCTTTGGACACAATGATGGAAAAATTATTTCCTATGAGGTTAGAAAGGTAGGAAGGGATAGCTCAGTGGTTTGAGCATTGGCCTGCTAAACCTGGGGTTACGAGTTCAATCGTTGCAGAAGCCATTTAGGGATTTGGGGCAAAAATTTGTCAGGGATGGTACTTGGTCCTGCTGTGAAGTCAGGGGACTGGACTTGATGACCTTTCAAGGTCCCTTCCAGCTCTAGGAGATAGGCAATCTCCAAAAGGTGAATTATGTAGTATGTGTGCTAACCTGGGTCTTTGGAGACCTGGGTTCAATTCCATGCTCTGCTGCAGAATTCCTGTGAATCCTTGAGCAAGTCACTTAGGGCCAGATTTTTATAGAGATGTAGGCATCTAAAGATCCAGAGAGGGATCTAGAGGCATTTTCAAAAGTACCTAGATACCTAACTACCATTGAAATCAATGCACAGTAGGTGCTGAAACACTTTTGAAAATTCTACTAGAAGCCTACCTCTATCTTCATGAACATACGTACCTTTAAAATATGGCTCATGCTATCTTTGTGCCTCCGTTACCCATTTTTTAAATAGGTTTAAGTGAACTTCCCTACTACACAGGGAAGCTGCGAGAATCATAGAACCATAGAATACTAGAATTGGAAGGGACCTCGAGAGGTCATCGAGTCCAGTCCCCTGTCCTGATGGCAGGACCAAGCACTGTCTTAGACCATCCTTGATAGATGTCTATCTAATCTGCTCTTAAATATCTGTAGAAATGAAGATTCCACAACCTCCCTAGGCAATTTATTCCAGTGTTTAGCCACCCTGATAGTTCGGAAGTTTTTTCTAATATCCAGCCTAAATTTCTCTTGCTGCAGTTTAAGCCCATTACTTCTTGTCCTATCATCAAAGGCCAAGGAGAACAATTTTTCTCCCTCCTCCTTGTGACACCATTTTAGATACTTGAAAACAACTATCATGCTCCCTTGCCGTCTCCTCCTTTCTAAACTAAACAAGCCCAGTTCTTTCAGTCTTCCCTCATAGCTCATGTTGTCTAGACTTTTAATCATTCTTGTTGCTCTTCTGTGGACCCTCTCCAATTTCTCCACATCTTTCTTGAAATGTGGTATCCAGAACTGGACACAATACTCCCAGTATTGTGAATGCATGCATTAAAGATAATAAGGTGCAGAATGAATGTATTAAAGATAACAAGGTGCTCAGATACTATAATAATGGGAGTTGCATAAATAGATTAGATAAATAGGATCAGCTCTGGTAACAAATGACTCCAAAGTCATGACCTTTTCTTCATGTAAGATGCAGTGAGGATCACGATCTTTTTAGAGCAGAGATATCAGCAACCTCTTTGCCATATAATTGTACATGTGATAATAGAAAAAAAAATACAGGGGCGTAGATGTCATTGTTTCAAACAAAAGGACCATGAGAGCTACTAGATTGTGGTTAGGCCCCAGTTAGAAAAGGCAGCTCTAACTTGGTTTGGCTAGGCATACCACACTAAAAAAACATAGGTATATTCAGGTAATCTATAAGTGGTATTATATAATGGCTTTATAATTTTTTATGATTAGATACATTATGAGAAGAAAGTACAATATCCCACTTTTTCACTTTAATCAATCTATCTTCTATGTGGTTGAATGAAGAGCAAGAAAGATGTCTATAGGTACTGAAATCTGTAGAATTCTGCAGTATATTATCATACAAGGGGTATCTTGCCTTATTAGTACATATGTTTTCTCTAGCATGATTCTTACTGTGACAACTAAAGTGCTACAACTCAACAAAATAAGAATGCTATCCTTTACATATATCGGGTTTAGAATACTTTGATGCCAATATTACTACTCTATCTTAATTGTTAATTTGTATTTTAATTTTGCATCAGAAGCAAGAAATCTGCTAAACAACCAGTGGGGCCACTGGATGATCGAGATACTAAAGGAGTATGCAAAGATGATAAGGTCGTTGTGGAAACACTAAATGAATTCTTTGCTTCAGTCTTCACAGCTGAGGATGTTAGTGAGATTTCTATATCTGAGTCATACTTTTTAGGTGACAAATCTGAGGAATTGTACTAGATTGAGCTGTCATTGGAGGAAGTTTTGGAATAAAGTGATAAACTTAACAGTAACAAGTCACTGTGACCAGATGGCATTCACCCAAGAGTTCGGAAAGAACTCAAATGTGAAATTGCAGCACTATTAACTGTGGTTTGTAATCTATCCTTTAAATCAGCTTCTGTAGCTAATGACTGAAAGATAGCTAAGGTATGC